AGAGACCTTACAATAAAAGGGTCTTTTTCCTTAAATAGTAGTGAAGATTATGAAAATTAACCTAACAATTACTTTCATACTACAAGATTCTTCGACAAAGCCTTAACTCTCACTCTTCTCCTTTCCAAAAGGAAAAATAACGTTAGCCTATCAAACACAGGGACAAGTGCAACAGATCAGCATCTGGAATATGCTTCCCACAACCATCAGATTTTTGGGGATACATCCACCAAACATTACCTGGTCAACAGACAGAAAGGTCAGCTACACTTGAATTGAAAGTGCAGCTACTTAACTTCATTCAGCACCCTGAAAGTACCGAGGTTTAAGAATCACTTATCACTGACAATAAGTATAACTTCAAGAATTATTTCATAACTACTAAGTAAATATCCTCTGGAAATTTCTACTTTTACATCTTCCAATACAAAACTTGCTATATAGAAGTTTGGTAAGGAAAGGATAACATAAAAAATTAAAATAGAACGCAAGAGACATTCTGACAATTGTTATTTGCCTGCAAGTAAAGACCAGGGATTGGTCATAAATGATAAATTACTCAAAACTGTTTCCCTATGTTAAAAGGATTACTACCACATGAATTTTATAGCAACTACTAAGAAAGGACTTTGTTGTCACTTACATTCACATCCATGCCACTCCTCACCCATGTCACTGACTTCTTATATAATGTTGAGCAAGTTACTTCACTTCTAAGCCCAACAGTAGCATGAAATCATACTCAACCACTTAGCAAATGGCCTTCAAGACCTATTCTTAGATTCAGTCACTGACTGAAATCCTCTTCTAACTGACAATTTACTGGTTCTTAAAAATACCTTTCACTTTTCTTTTTTCTGCCCTTTGACCATGTCTTTCTTATTCAGAAATCATATGGAGATGCTAAGAATTTGAGCAATTAAGCCAGGGAGTTGCTCATCATCATCCATAATGAGCTTCACTATTTAAGAGTTTGCCAGCAGCCTAATGTAAAATGAAAGATAATATTCGAAAGGCAAACGTGTAGACTGCAATTTCACCATTAACTACAGTGGTTTGTTGTTTTGCATAGAAATCTAACTCCACTTGAATACCTTTCTACTATATTAGAAATTAACTCAGAACTCCCAACCATGCTAAAAAGCTTATTTCTAGACTAAATGGATATTCAGACAGAAAAGCTAGAGCAGTAACTGACATACCCGAGCCCCTAACCAAGGCTTTATCTTGGTACTGCTCAGTCAACAAGGGTACATCAGCACAAATCACAACACTTAAACCAGTCAAGAAACAGAACTATCTTGCTGCTAAATACCAACATCTCCTTTTCATCTACAATGCACAAATAAAGGAAGAGCATACACTGAAGCTGTAAATTTCTACCTGGCATTCCT